TCTGGCAATAATGCTTTTTTGTCAACAACTACACGTTTATTCGAGCCATCATTTTTGCCAAAAGTGGTCGAAATGACCAAACTGCCCCTTGGGATAGACTAATTGATCTTTCGCAGGGGACGAGTGTAACTTGTTGTCATCAATGACCCCATTGTTTGTTTCAAGGACCCTGTTTCCCTTTCACTAGGCTTCTTTTTTGAAGTCTTGATGATTATCTTTGGTTTGGGAGCCTTTGGGACTTTTTCACCTTTTAAGGACGATGCACCGCGATGTGTTAGCTGCACTCGAATTATTTTTGAGGGTTTGGGGACTTCTGCCTTCTATGATTTTCTTATTTCTGCAGTCGCTCCCTCATTCTCCTTATCAACCTTTAATGGTTGTGTAAATGAAAGACCAGGTGGACCTTAAAACTTTGCATCAGAGTAATTTACCTCTTCACCTCTAAATGGGTCCATGTCGGCTGAAACGCTCTTTTATAGGCCCTTAATTTTGAAGAGTTCAAGATTAAATGAATAATCACTCCTTGGCTTCAGTGTTTGACACAAACACTTTAACTGAAATATCCTGTAGGCAAAGAACTGTAATTCCATTTGAACATGTGCTCCATAGCTGGAATATTGATGTTATCTTATTTTATAGGAATTTCCATGTGTGCAGCCATCTTCTCTTATTTAATGAAAATTATCATTTAAACAATGGTAATACGCTGAGGAGAAGATATAGCATGATTCTTTGAATTGTTGTTGGCGTGATTATAGGTCTCTTCAATTCTCATAAAAATCATTCACTACCAAAAAAAAAAGTGGCAACAGTCACCATTATTTGGGGACATTTCACCCCAACAAACGTCACCAAATGTCACTGAATAATGGTGACTGTTGCCACTTTTTTTTGTAGTGATTGCTCAATCTAGGCCAAACTATGCAATGATTGTAAAGAGCTTAATTCTATTGTCGCATCTTCTTGGGGAAGTAATGCTGCAAAAGCTAGGGACATCAGTGAAGGGAATATTGTGGGAATGGTGTTACGTAGAGATTTCTAAAAAATCTACAACCAAACTTTGAGAGTATAAATCACCTAGCAAGCCATATCTAATATGAAATCAAAGTAAGAGTGGAAGCATTAAATAAACTAGGGATTCATGCAAGTCTCATTTGGTCCCAATCTTTGTAAGTCTATGAAAGTGTGCACCAAAGACTCTCTAAATCCTATTTGAGAGAAAGATAAGATGTTCATACCCTTGGAGCGAATCTTGAAACCAGGAATGGTGTTCAAGTAGAGGGAGTAGTCCCTTTGTTGTTGGCTCTCCCTTTGATGTTGATTCTCCACCTTGTAGCTCTTCAAACGGGTACAAAGATATGTGCCTCCCAAACGCTCTATCTTCACCAAGGATTGAATGGGATAAGAGAATGAGTAGACTACAAGTGAAGAGTGGTGCTAGCACCCTCACTTGATGTGATAGATTGAAGGGGTTACGGAGAGAGAGCTTGATGTTTTCTCTCTTCCAATTTCACCAACTTGAAAACCCTAGGAGATAAGATTCCATAGCTATAAACTTATAGGATAAATACAAGAGTGACAAAAATGCCCCCAAACCCTAGTGTAGCCACACACCCCCTTCCCCCCCCCCCCTCCCCTTTTTGTGTGTCATCTTTTGCTATCTTGGTCCAACACATTAAATCCTATAATGTGTCACATATGTGCCTAAGTTCATATGGTCAAATCCCTTTTGAATTTCCAAGTCATATGAGACCTGTAATTAAAGTTTCATAACTATAATTGAATAATAAAATTAATCTAATCAATTTAATTACTCTAGTGACTTGACTAATTCAATCACTCACTTGTCTAACAAGTGTTGGTCCCGGTCATCCTTAGTTAACCATGTCAAGTGTTGGGTCAATTGTTTGACCTTTGACTTTCGCATTAACTTTGACCAAGTCACAAAATCATTCATTCTCTTTATAATTTCCCAATTGATTCCTTTTCGGTGTGCGATCTTATAGGTTCTAATTACTGAGGCAATGGGTATGAATGATTCACTCTGAATCAAGTGTGAATTGTATCCCTCCATACAATTCTCCCTATTGGCGAAGGCTAATTATAATTAGTCCTTACAGGGCTTCCACAAGACATGAGTGACACCTATCAATATGTCATGGCTACCCAAGCTAAAAATAATTCATTTAGAGAACCTAGTCAGTTTGTGATTAAAATGCAATTCGATCCTTCTCTAATTCAATATTTTATGTCATATTCTCGGGATATGATAAACTTGTGTCAAAATCTCTAATATGACATCTCTAGATCATATAATTCAATTTGATAAAATTGCAAACGTTCTTGTTTCAATTTCTATCCAATACAATGGCCAAAGATTCACGAATCATATGTTTAGAGTATTCTCTCTTCTTACTAAGAGCAGAGATTCTTTGTTGTACATTCACCTATCTCTGCGTACATGCTGAGAATACTGTATAATGCTCTCGAAGAGAAACAACATATACACAAGACAACGGTGATGTCTTAAGTCTAAGGATTAATTTGCATTATCACTACTTAGAATTCTTTGTTTGACACTTGTGAGTAAGACTTCCATACAAGAATTCTAGAGTTGATCGCGTTCAGTGGACTCCATCTTTTATAGAGCACCTACACATCTTTCTCAGTGTCTCTACATGAATGTCTTGAGACTAGTCATCCTCCCAATTGAGCAGACATAATGTGTACCAGTTTTTGTGGGTTACAATTGTCCAATTGGTGATCCTATAACCAGGAACATTTTAGGATACGATATTTATATGTATGGAAATGTCTCGTGCATCTAACTTCTTTAGACCACTTTCTATTTATATCTTAATCCATGGACTTGTTACTTTGTGTACGTTATGTATCTAAAGCAACGTTCTTGCCCCTTTGATTATTATATATTATTTCCTTAGAATTAACTATTTTATATTGGCTTCTAGGGCATATATCTAACAATCAGTTGGCTTAAATGGGATCATATTTGCTCTCCAAGAGAATTTTGAAGCCTTGGATTCAGGCATTTAGATATCAAGCACTAATTGCTAAAAAATCCTTCTTCCCAAGTTCATAGAGTTCTCAACGCGAGGTACATTCCTCAAACTGAGTTTCTAGTTGTTGATAAAGGAAGAGCTGCTTCGTATGTTTCTTTGTTGTCCCTAGAGTTTCTAGTTGCTGATAAAGGAAGAGCTACTTCCTCTGTATAGGGCAGCGTCTCTTTGTTGTTTCTATAGTGTCTCTTTGTTGTCCTTATAGAATAGAAGTTGTGAAAAAAAGGCTATTTTACCCAATTTCACTATAAAAAGAACTAAAATTATATGTCCTCTATATTCTCTCTTCTCTCTCTCTCCTCATTCTTTGTCTCTTCTTTCCTTCATCCAATTTCTCCCTAAATACTTGAATTCAAATGTTCTTTCTTTCAAAATACCAATTGAGATGAAAGGATCGTCCATACCAATTGAATCATAATCTTTTGCATTCCTAAATTTATGGGCTTATGACAAAACACCCCTTAGATTTTTGGGATCATTTTAAATATGGGCTGATAGGTTTCAATTTCTTCAATTTACACACCATGACTTTCAAATATAACCAATTTAAGCCTTTTGTTAAGTTGATCGTCTGGTCAAAGATTAACTGATGATGTATCCACTGTGGGACCCACCCCACACTCAATCAGTAAAAATAAAAAAAATTATATGAATTATATAAAATAACATAAAAATAAATAAATAAAACTTTTTAAAATAAAACTATCCAGATGCCTAAAAATGAAAACCCAAAAGAAAGCAACTCATTGGGAATTAGAGAAGAGAGTGATAAGCGGGAAGCCTCAACGGCTTTGTTGGGAGAAGGAGAATCGTCATGGCGGCCAAAAGATGACAGAGGATTGGAGATGACCCAATCGAGGGCAAAAAAGCAAACTCCAACTTAATGACCCAACCCCTCTCCATATGGGCTAAGGCCTTGGGAATGGATGGGCCGTCACGACCCTCTAATCTGGGTATGTTTAAAATAAAATTTAAAAAAAAAAAAAAAAGAATTTTTATTTGTTTTAATGTTATTTTATATTATTGATTAAATATTTTTTAAATTTTTAGAGATTGGGCATGCAGTGGATATGTCATTAGTTAATGTCTGACTAGACAGTCAACTTAAGAGAATGCTTAAATTGGCCAGATTTAAAAACATCCGAATTTTTAAACATTTGGAAAAGATTTCAGTATTTTTTATATTTAAATTTGAATTTTGGAGTTTTTATTGTGAAAATTATCAAAATACCCAATCACATCGGCAAATTAACAATTTTTCGTATGAAATTAATGGAATTGGATAACATGTCTCACGAAATAAAAGTTCATAGAGGATATATGGGTCATTTTAAAGTTTAAAGGACAAACTAAGACAAATTACAAAGAACAGGGGGCATTTAAAAAATAAGCCTAAATAAAACTTTCAACACAACTTGGGAGTGACTGAACTATGGTATTAACCCAATTGCTTATGGTGTTGGTAGCCAAGTGGAATAGAGATAATAGCTTGCAGGTCATCTTCAATAAAACACAACATCAGTAAATTGGTGTCCCACTGGCCTAAAGGATTAATAAAATCCTTTACCTTTGTATTAGGATCCAGAGAATTTAGGCTTAATAGTTTTAAATGAATGTGGTCTAGGAATCCAAGGATCCCTATAAACCAACGTAGAATCTCCATCCCCAATTCTTTTCCGCACTCCCTTTATAAATAACTCCCTTTCTTAAAGAGACATTATAGGGACATCAAAGAAACACTATGCGGAGCAAGAACTATTATAGAATAAAAGTTGTGAAAAAAGAACTATTTTAGCACAAACCCATATTTTTTATTTAATCTGAATTTCGGAATTTTTAATAGTGAAAATTACCAAATACCAATATCACCTCACGTCAGCAAGTTTAACAGTTTTTCTGATCAAATTAATGGAATGAGAGAAAATGGCTCTCAAACAAGAGTTCAGGAGGGAAGATGTGATCATTTTAAAGTTCAGGGGTCAAACTGAGGTACGTTGCAAAGGAGGCATTTCGAAAAAATAAGCCAAGTCACAAGTAAAAAGCAGATTTTGGGATTTTTTTTTATAAAAACTAATTTTTCTTCATCCTTTTCACATTTCCATTGATCTCAGGTGGTGAGGGACTGAGGGTTACCTTCTCTAAGAACCCACCAAAGAGCGCTTTCATAAAAATATCAAAAATGCAGAGGCTCGTTTCTTTGAAACTGGCCTCAAACTTCCCCAAAAAGCTCTCAAACTCGTCCACCACCACTACTTCTTCAATCTTCCACTTTCAACCACACAAATCGGTTTCTCTCACCAAACCACCCCAAACCCAAACCCAAAACTACTTCTTTAGCTCCTTCCCCGCACACCGGCTTCACCGTCTTCCTCATTCATGGAGGTTGCAGCACACTCTCACACAAAAGATTCATGGGTTGCTCTCCAACCCATTACTCAAACGGCAGTTTTTGGTGGTTTCTCAAATACCCTTTTGAGAGCCTCAAGCAAGAGTCTTTCAGATTTCAGGCTTGGCTTTCTCAGAGTCCAATTTTCGAGACAGAGTTCTAAGTTCAAGTTCAACCCAAAGTTTACTTCTCCTCGGAGTGTCGGGTAATGGTTTTGTTTCTGTTCATTGTCGAAGTTATCTGTTTGGTTAAGAAAATGAAGGAAAAGCTAGTGAATTCAATAACGAACTCCTAGAAGAATGAATTCTCCACAATGTTTTATCTGTTTTTTATTTTCTCTTTTCCTTTCATTATCGTGGAATTCCTGGATCGAACGTTTGAAATTTCCGTTTGGCGTATCTGCACGGTTGATTTTGATTTGACCAAATGTGATTGGTTGGGACAGAAAAGGACGACACGTATCCAATTGTGATTGGCGGACCGTACAAATATTTCTATTTACGTGCCCATCGCTTGCTTTTCTTCATCGCAGAAGCTCTTGCCATTTTATTTTGCAAACTTCTTCCGCCCGCATAATTGCAAAATGCAGTCCTACTATTACAGTAACATTTAAAGAATGACTTTTGTTAATTGTTATTTAGGAAATGAAGAACAAATTTTCTTGTGCAAAGTACTAGTTGTCATAACATGAGTAGGCGGAATAGATCGGGGCATAATGCCTTCGTATGTGAAAAATTACTTTTAGACTATCGCTTGTAGTAAAAATTGTCTTTATATTACTTGGGTTATAGAACATATAATAAAGGTTTCTGTTTGTGAGATTAGAGAGATGTAACTTTTTTTCGGTCGATAGAAGAGATTTTACGTTACTTGAGGACATGTGCTCATTTTCTCCACTTGAAGGAAAACATATGGACAAGATAAAGTAGAAACCCAGGATCCACTTTGTATGCTCCTATCCTATGCACCCCAAGTTTCCTGTCTCATTGTATGCAAGTTAATTATTTTCTGTCAGTAAAACCTAGTTTCCTCCTCTTCGCAGGAGATCATGGCTCCGAAGGTCATCAGAGGGTGAGGACACTGACGTGGTTTTGGGATTGATTATAGCTAATGCTGCTGTGTTTTTGTTATGGAAGATTGCGGATACTGGCTTCATGGCGAAGAATTTTATTGTGAGTTCCTCAGTTTTGAATTGGCTAAGTGTTGTCAACTTGTCTTCATGGCTCTCTCTCTCTCTCTCTCTCGTTGAGAAATAAGAGAATTTAAGTAACCCTAAACTAAAGAAAAAAGAGTCAAGGAAGCAAAATGTCGACTAGCTATTTTTTTCGTTTTTCACTGATCAATTTCCTAACTCGTTGATTTTCTCTAACCAGAATGCATTAATCAATGTCAGAAGTGGACGTCTTCACACATTGATAACTTCTGCCTTCAGTCATATCGGCACTGATCATTTCATTCATAACATGATTGGGCTATATGTTTTTGGGGCGCATGTAAGCTGATTTTCTCAGAAGCTTTTTTTTTTTTTTCCTAATAATTTTCTTTTGGTACTGTGAGGTATTAAATTTTATTTTGACATATCTTTTAGTTGGACAATATATATTGAATTTGATCTCTTCCATGATTTTATATGAATCATACATTCAATCAGTTTTTATTATATCTTTCTCTATTTTTTGGTGCACTGACCAGATTGAAAGAATTTTTGGGCCTCAATTTTTGCTGGGATTGTATCTAGCTGGGGCTCTTGGTGGCTCGGTCTTTTTCTTGGTGCACAAAACCTACCTGGCTGTGCCATCGATGGTAAAATGATACTCGGCTTATGTTCAAGGATAATCTACTGCGAATATATATTATATACACGTCTCTTGAGTATTTTTCATCATAATCAACTGTTTGTAGGGCCGGCGAGAGGAGAACAAAGACCCAAACAAGCTGGGACTGGTATGATTTCAGAAACTCTTTACATGCTGTGGTCCTTACTTAGGGCCGGTCCTGGGGTGGTGCAAGTGGACACACAGCTTCGATTTTTGAGACTGTTTTATAATGCCAGATTAGCTCCTTTTTATTTATTTATAAAAACGTGCCATGCATAATGCTAAGTTAATAAATGGGTATAAGAAATTCACACACTGACACGAAAGCTTCATTTTTTCATGGATTGTTTGACTAAAGTTGACAAGCAAGCTTACTTAGTTTAGTTGTTATATTCTGGAAGGAAAAGTTGTTAAACTTTAATTCATTTCACTATAGCTTCTGTTTGTGGTATGTAGGGCGCAGGCGGGGCCGTTAATGCTATCATTTTGCTTGACATATTCCTCTTCCCAAAATCCATCTCTACTCCGGGATTCTCAAAACAGTTGTTCCTGGTAAGTTTGCTTCTATATGTTGGGTTAAATGGTTGAGGCTATTAAGCAAATCCTTGAAAACTTACCTCTCTTTGTTCCATTTCAGGGGATCTTTCTAATTGGGAAAGATATCTTGAGGATAATACTGGTATGTTGGTAATCTTCCTTGGCTATCTTCCTGTTTTCCCACATTTCTTTGTGTTTCTGTGTTCATTCACGGTTCATGTGTGGCCTTGAAAATGGGGAACGCACACAGGCTCGGCCCATAGGACATGTGTGCTGTGCGACCACACAAAGCCTCCCAAAAAATGGGGCTCTTATTAAACCTTTTAGCCCAACAATTACAGAAGCAAGGCCTTTCTGGTGTGGGATTAGTCTTTTGAGTTTGGTTATCATCATACAAAGGTTTTCAACCAATCAACCTTGTTTGTGCTTGCTTTTATTTTCTGCACGTATTATCCTTCAAGTGAGGTAACCTAGAGTTGGAACCCTGTGCCAGGCAGAGGACAAAACTGTCTCATTCTTCTACCTTTATTATTTTGAACTCTAGAATTGTCGCCATCAAACCAATGTCATTGTGATTTTCTAGTAAATTTAGTGGTAACATTATTTTGTTACTGCAGGGAGACGAACAAATCTCAGGGGCTACACAATTGGGAGGTGCTGCAGTTGCAGCCATTGCCGGGACACGACTTCGAAAGGGGCGATTCTAAATTTCGTAACGACAGATTACATATAGAATGGAAATTAAGATGGTCTCGGTCCCCAAATATTGCTTGTATTTTTTATTTTATTTTTTAAAGATAGTCCAGCATGTTAACTATTAGTCAGTGCCTTGCAGCTAGTTTTTCTCCCGATTTAAACTACCAGATCATCCCTTATCTCAGACCCCAGTTATTAATCCAGCTACATTGGATGCCCCTCCTCAAATTTTCACTGCTGTTTGTTGTTTTAAACAAAATTCGAGGCCCAAATCCATTTCTATGGGCCCATATGCTTGTGGACAGGGGCCCATTCTGCTGAGAAATTACTCGCTACAAACAAATCCATCCAATACAATTCACAAGGACGGGGCAAATAGAAATTTAGAAACAAGAAAATGGGGAGTCTGAGATCCAGTGGAGCAACTTGTGCGTGATGAAAGGTCAAGGTATATATTTTGTGTTGAAGTCCAGTCTCTGTCTTGTAGTCATTGTTTGCTTGAGGCACCATGACAGCAGATACAGCTCTAGACGACAGAGATAGGTGAAGAAAGAAAATTATCACTTTTCAATTTCCAGATGAATTGCTTTCATCTTAAATTTCGCTATCATAGAGGAAAATAAATTTTGATAAGGATATCTATCAACTAAGGTATTTATGTCTAAATAATATAAATATTTTTTTAAAAATAAAATAAATTACAAAAATAAAAAATAAAAAAAGCTCGTACGTACTTGCCTAGCTACTAATAAAACAAGGACGAAATCACTGTTAGACTAGGGAGGGCTACAACCTAGTGCAGTTTTTTGGAAAAGTGAAAACTTGGTGTTAATTTTTGTTCACCCCACTCATTAGAAATTTGCCGCCCTACTCCAGAAAAAAATTGACCTACTTCATCCGAATAGCTCTCAAGAAAATGTACTGAGCCATCTACACATAACAAAGGAAAAAGTAAATTTATAGCCGACTTGTTTGAAATTTTTTAGATCCGTCCTTCTTTATAATTGGCTAGAGTACTAATGGGTAGATTTGAGCTTGAAATCTTCTACAATACTAACTTGAAGGAAATTGAAAACAAATTGTACCCGAAAGAGAATGCCTAGCGTTAACCTACCGAATTTATAAACTTGAAATTTCTGTCCATGTATTGTTCTTGTAATTTTTTTTTTTTCCAGAACTTGTGTTTAACTCAACTGTTCCTTGATTATGACTCTTATAACCCTTCAACCCGAAAAGAGAGACTTGTGCCAACAGGGTCCGGGGTGCCATAAATTAATGTTGGAAAACCAGATAAACCGAATTCATGGTTGAGGGTCTTGACACTGATGCCCTTCTTACACCACTTGCTAAGTCCTAGTCATCGTTAAAGAAAGTATAATCTTTTGGACCCACCAATAGCATGATTGGTATGACCACAAAGCTCTCAAATCCCTTAGATGTTAATGGAAAATCTTTTTTCATTTTGGTTTTTTCCCCCTTTGATAGGACAAGCTCTCATTCTTTTCGATGAAGTTTTACCCTGGCATATGTTATGAATATGTTTTCTCAATACTAAGCCTGAAAGTTATCACTATTGGTCGTAATTTGTCGAATTTTTTATGTTAATTTTTGTAGTTTTCATTTTAGTGATTTGACTTATATAGTTTGATATTCATTGCAATTTAAAGAGACGTTCAATTCAATTCTGTCCAAACATTCTGCACAGAAAAGAAAATACCCTCAACACGAGAGACACATGATTATCCTGTCACGAAATTGTATGGATATCAAATTATATGGGTTAAATTAATACTAGAATTGAAACCACAGATGAAACCAAAAGTAGATGTATGTAGCCATATACGAATTTAGAATTAGATAGATTGCAGCTAATTCTACATACGCTTTGCAATTGCTGGCTTGAGAGCAAATAAAATGCTTTTTGTTGCAAACCCTAGTCATATTCTAAAATTCATGTGATATATACATATATCTTAGAGACAGCTAAGGCTTGTCTTTTTTCTCTGCGTGTCTTTCGAAATTGGAAGGCAGTGTCATTGTGTAAGTGGGTCACCGTTTAAATGCTTTCTTGCCATGCGCAATCAATTCATATCCATGTACAACAACACCCACATTGATGCCGATTGTGACAACATCGACATGTGAGTTGTGGAATCTTATATACCAATCAATAAACAAGATCCTTCAATGTCAAAAGACATTTGTAGTCGTCCATCCATGTAGTTTCATAGGGTTTTCAATTAATTTCGAGCCTCTAATTTAAAAGCACATGCAAACACACCCATCTAATTTACATTCGATAGCACTAATCATGCCCAAAATCTTAACTGTTGTCAATAAAATGCTGACGCCGTTTTGTCATCAGCAAGGTACTTGTTCATTTCGTTGTCTTGCAATAGTTGTGTTTTATGTTTTGCATCTTGACATTGTTTGTAAAAACATTTGTGTTCTTCTCTGTCTCTGTGTCTTGTATTTGGCCTTCTTATTATGAGGGTTTGCTCAAAATCAATATAAGATGTGGCATCCTCTAACCTGGCTCTTTCAGCGGGGCCATATAATGTAACCTAGTATGATTGGACCTTTTTAACTACATATATATAGGTACGATGTTGTAAACCCTAATAGACTGCATGGAGTAAAATTATCTTTTGGCATTTTTTTTCCTCCCTCTAAACTTGAAATTATGGTCCTTCCTTTGCTCAGCCATCTCATTTGAGGCAATTTTGGGCAAACAATTCCCATTTTCATTGTAATTTTTCTTTTTTCTGGTAGATTTTCATTGTAACTTGAAAGCATGTCAAATTGACCAATCGAGCCAAAAGCTTGTAGCTCAGTATCCGAGGTCATGCGTGTTTGAATCCCTCCTCCCCTAATATCACTTATGTAAAAATTGACCAATCGATTATTGCAAAGTTACACTCCTCGTAAATATGGGCCCAATCAGGACACCACCAAAGTCTTTTGTTATGCTCCATTAATATTGGTACTAATATTAATGGAACTGAAATTACATCACATTTTTGTCTAGCTAGCTTCTGATCTCTGTGTTCTGTGGAGTTGGGTAATAAAAAAGGTCTCAAACTCATCAAAATAACCATTTGGAAGTTGCTGCTGATGGTCCATAACTAGGAAATCAAGTTGATCAACTTTTGCGGCTATACTCTTTACTTTTAACTCTTTCCTTCTAGTGTACCTTTTTTTTTTCTTTGAAGAACTGAAATGTTTTTCGCATTTCTGAAGAGCCATTAATATATAGCCTTGTAGCCTTTAGAGCTAGGGTTCAATCTGTAGAGCATACTTCACTGTCTTTAGGGTTTCTAGCTATAACCAACTGCAAATCATCAGAAAAATTCAAAAGGAAGAGAGAAGGAAGCAGTTTTAGAGCGTATACAAATGCCAGTAAACCTTTCATAAAGGAAAGTAACTGCCTATAGCTCTGTAAATTTTTCTTGTAATTTTTTTTTTCTTGTTTTTGGTTATAGCTTCCGCAGGTTGCAGTAAATTTAGAGTGCAAGTAAACGCGGGCTAAAAATGAAAGCTGTGTGGTTGCCATAGAAGAGAGGCAAAAACAACTTTGGCAGATTCTGCCATCTCATGAATACTTAATTGCATTCCGACAATCTATTTGCTCTCTTTCTTCTAGCTCTCCTTCAGAGACACGCAGAGGGACACAGAATATAACAGTGGGACATTTAAACCGTCTCGGATCACGAGCCTGATTTGTGGCTTTCACTTTTTCTACAGATGATGTATAGAACAGGAAGGGTGATGTGAATTAATCATCTGCTTCTTTTCTCTGCCATTGTCCTTTTCTAGGACTGCTCTATATATGAATCATGATGGCTAGTTGCAGGGTTATTTATTTACTTGGTTTTTTTGATTTATTGCTGGTTTTGTTGGAATATGAGCCCTCATTAACAATTTTGGTTGAGTGAGAAGGCTTATTAATGGGGGAAAGTGCTTACAAAAGCAAGGAGGAGAGACTTTTGGTTGAATTGGAAGAATCCATGATGATAATCTGCTTTGGGTTTGTGACATAGAGGAGCCCTGAGCCCCTACAAATTGGGTGTGAGTTCTTAGCTCCCACACCACAACTTCTCAAGCTGAACTTAATCCTAATTCACTAAAGCAAGCATCTCCCGCAATTGATACCTAAATGACTCAATGATCTCCAGCTCCCTAAGGTCTTCATATCATTTTGGAGTTTTTGGGGCCTAGTTCTGGAAAATCAAAAAAGGGGAACCGGAACTCTTTACGACAGTCCATCGAGCCAACTTGAGCTCTCAACTAAAAATCGCCTACCATAATTAATGAAATTATGAACTCATATCAAAACTTAAAATAGAATTCCCCTCTGCAGCCCACTCTGCTGACATGGGCTTAAAATAGAATATCGCTTATATAAAAATAAAACTAAAATATTAAAGATAGAGTTTTAATTAAATTCAAACTCGTTTTACCTTTATTGTAACGATGGACTCGATTTTTCATTTATTTAGTTGAATTCTTGTGTGGTCTTCTTTGATCATTATGCCCTTTTAGTAACAGAATTTTTGAAATATAGTGGCTCTCGTATTTAGAGGCTAGTGGTGGAATTTTATTTTGATCCATGACACAAGGCTCGAGTTCACGAGAGCGTGGCTCAAACGGAAATTAAATTGAAAAATTATGTCTCCTTGGAGTTGAGGGGCCTTTTTAAGAGAATTCCATCGTTAAGCTCAATAATAAAATGTCAAATATGCCCCTTATTCTCCTTAACGGATTTAAATAATAGATTGAATAGTTATATGGCTACTATTGCAATTCTCAAATCTCACTTTCTCATTGGTTCATACTTTTACACTCCTTGTTTTCTCTTAATCAATTCACTCGGTCCACTTACTCTTCATTTCCTTTCAGATGAGATATATTACAATATTGTGAAGAGAAGTGTCATTAAACTGAGAGCTGTTTAGCTATTTGATATCATGTAACGATCTTAAAATGTCCAAAATGCCACAGACTAATCCCCTCGATGAGTGTATCTATGATCGTAATAGTCAACATAATTGTTTTTGCCATGGAAATCAAATCAAGATTAAGTTGGTAAAGCTATTGTGGCGACTATAAAGTTATACACAAGACAAAAGTCTTAGATTGCAATATGTGAAATTTTGGAAGTTAATTAATTTTAAGTTGAATACTCCAACTTCAACAAGGTATTAGGCACAAAATTCATCCACCTCTCAAGCTACGTGTTCTACGTTACCTAATCTAATAAATTCATATTTTCCGCTAACCTAAACCTAGTAAGGAGGGCAAACTGTAGCTAAAGTTTGGCTAATTATTAGTAGCTATCATCAATTAAACATGAGGGTAGTACTTCTTTTTAAAAGCAAAACAAAATAAATAAATAAAATTTAAAAAAAAAACAGATAGGAGACGGAAGATACGAAGTTGAGATCTCTTTCAATACTGAAAAGAGAGGTACCACTAGACCAATGACTAATTGGTTCTAAGGTCCAAAAGCAAAAATTTGAGAGAATGTTGCTAGCATTTCCCTAAACGAAATACAGCAACATTGTATAATTGTACTGTTTGTAGTACAAATAGGCGCATACTCATTGAGATTGAGTGATATCATTAATTAAACCAAAGCTCTCCTAGGGCAGCCTAATCCAACCCTATCGCTTACCAGAGAGGTAAAATCCAATCCTTTTTAACCCTACTTCCGTAGCTCTTTTTCTCTATTTGATTTTAGTGAAAAATATTCAATTGAATGCTCCTCCCACCCTTTGTAAAACAAAGACTAATAGTTTAAATTGGGAAAGCTGCAACCTAAATTCCGAGCTTGTAGTTTTCATATGATATATAGCAAGTAGGATAGGACTTAAAGCTACCTTAGTGGAAATAATGTAATTGTAGTCAACATTTAGTTGGCAATTAAGCTGATTTCTGTGCATCTCCAATCTTATAGGCAGACACTAAGGGCTTATAGCTCAAGTGATTAAGAGTATTTATATTGTATCCGAAGTCTTAAGTTCGATTTCATTCACTTAATATTACTTTTATAAAATAAATATAAAAACCCTTCTAGGCAGGCATGTAACATATGGCAATTATATCGTACAATCGTTCTTCTTTCTTGCTGTATATTGTCTTTCTTCTTTTTTTGAGACACTTTTCTTTAGAATTGATGGTGGTGATAGGCTTTGAGGTCATGATTTCTAATACCTTATCCAACCTTTTGATGTGTCAATTATGTCATGCTTGTACTTTATGCATATGATTCTCGGTTTATATTCTTGAACGAACATACTATACTTGTAAAAAGATTATGTAGCTTGCATTGCATGGTTACAACTTTTTCCAACTTGTAGGAAAAGGAAAATAAAATAAAATAAATTCAATTTGCCCATTTCATTCTATACCCACTTCTCCCTTTTTTACCCACTTGGCCATCAATGGAAGATAATGGCTGCATATAGAATCTAAACCTTTATATACTCCATATTTTGTAGCTATAAAAAATGAAATGAAAAGACAAAAAAAAACCATGTTCATTGGTCCACGTGTTGGAAGCAAATGACATGGGCGGCCAATATCCATCTTGGTACAGGGACAAGGCCCTTCATGTATGGTGTGCTTGAGAAAAGATAGAGAAAGCCCCTTTTATGAAAATGAATTCTAGACATCTTCTTCATAGAGCCTTTTACATCGATAATATTCCTAAGTTCGTATAAAAATAAAAATAGAAATTAGAAAATAAAAAGAAAATTGGAGAATGCATGCACATTGCTGCTGCTTCTTTAGAGGCAACGGTGCGCTGCAGCCTTAATAAAGGCTACAAGCCTAGAAGTCACACCCTCATATTCCAACCGTATACAACTATTTCTCGATCTTATACGTCATCACATTAAAGGATGGCATCTCTTCCTGCCTCTTGCCCACATAAATCTACATATATCTCGAACCCTAAAATAAATATACTTGAAAATTGATAGATTTACAATTAAACCATCTCACTAATTAAAACTATACTACGTATGATGATTTGATTAGACGATTAAAACTAGCATTTCTTAGAGAAAAGTATGTGTAACTCCCACCAAGTGTGAATGCTACTAATCTATCCACCTGATCAAGGGCGGAACCATCCTTAGACTAAGATGGGCTCAAACACCGTCCAAGTTTTTTTTTTTGACATATAACAATTTGGTGCTACTTACTTTTTAGAAAATTCAGCCTACCAAGTGGAAATTAGCCCAACTGCTAATTTTTGCCTTAAAAAAACTGGCAAAACCAAAGTTTTTCTCTAAATTTATTATGAAATTTGGTAAAACCAAAGTTTATCTCTAGTTGTATGTCTCATCTGGTATCGTTCCCTTTTGCTTAAAAACAAACACGGCAGTGACTAAGCTTGCCAAGTAAGCTCCTGTCCTTTGTGGCCATGTGACAAACCCTGGATCGAACAGATTGTGGGAGTACAAAATGCATAAAAAGGAGCTGATCAGAAAAGTGTAGTTGAAGGGAGCACGTTTGTCGTTTATTTTAGTGAAACCATACATATCTTTGTGGTGGAACTATGAGAATAAATAAATATAAATAAAGAGAGTAAAGGAACCAGAAAAGCTGTTAGATATCATTATCAACGCCTTCAAAAGGAGTGTGTGAAAGATGTAGCCATTGATAGTCGCCTCTCTATGAACCATGCACTCTAATCATAGCTAATTAACCCTAAACTCTTTTAATAACATATGCTTAAAAAGTTACTCTTATAAAAGGCCAACGAGGTCTAATTCAGTGGAAAATGCCTTGACTTGAAGACCAATGGTCTTAGGTTCGAATCCCATTGACAGTGTGTGAGTGAGAAAATATCCTCCCCAAATATCGCTTTGCTTGTATAAATTTTTTTTATTTTTAAAAAAGTATGAGATTAAAAAAGTATGAAAGAGAGAGAGAGAGAGAGAGAGAGAGAGAGAGAGAGAGAGTTGAGACTAGAAGGAGTTGGGCTAGAGTTAGACATTGACTTGTTGAGTTTTGGTTGGGACCTGGTTTGTTATATATGCGGGTTGTGGGGCTGAGATGACTCAAGATTTTAATCTCCTCTAGCTCCCTGACCAAACTCTACCACCCTTAATAGATGTATTTACAGCTCTCATAGCATAGGCCAAGGTAGGAGTTTTCTTTCAAATCGCTACATCTCCAAACCTCATTCACTGACTTCTCCTATCTTTCCCTTCAAAACATTCCAGTTTTCATTTGCAAAATCCCAAAGTTCTTCTGGGAGTCTCTTCCCTTTTTCTTGGTGGATATATTATACATATATACCCAATACAATTACAACCCACTTTTGTTGTTAACTGAACTTTCCATTTTTTTTTTCTTTAATACAGTATTTTTGTGCCCACATATAGAAAAACCCACCAACCTAGTCTGCATGCTCTTACTCTCTTTTCATGGAGATGATATGGACCAATAAGTTTACCTTATCTGTAAATTTGTAGAAACAAAACTGGAGTCAAATTTCTTGGTCTGTACTGGTGACTCTGGGTTTTTTGTATTTTGAGTGAGGGTTGTGGATTTTTTTCTTGTAGGGTTTATTGGGGTCAGGAATCTGGAGATTGCAATGGCAGAGTTTTTGGGATTAGCAGCAGCAGCAACAGGTGTATCAGAATTGTGACAGTTTGCAGAGGAAGAGCTACAAGCAACCCCAACAACAGCAGTAAAGCAAGCAAAAGAAATCAACCATTTTTGAATCCCAAAATCAGAGAAAAAAGATTAGGAATCTGGATTTCCAAGAGAATCAGCAATATCTCCAACTTGTCCAAAACCAGCATCAAACACATGGGGAGCTCATAAATTCTCACCCAACACAAACACAAGTAGCTCCCAACAACAACCACCATCAAATTCTAGACCACCAAAGCATTCAACAAGAATATGCAAAGCAAAGAGGAGGAGAGAGAATGGGAATGAAGAGCACTGGAGGAGGAGGAGGAGGAGAGATTATACAAGTTCAAGGAGGCCACATTGTTCGATCCACCGGCCGCAAAGACCGCCACAGCAAGGTCTACACCGCCAAAGGCCCCCGAGACCGCCGCGTCCGGTTGTCTGCCCACACCGCCATCCAATTCTACGATGTTCAAGACCGCCTCGGCTATGACCGCCCCAGCAAAGCGGTTGACTGGCTCATCAAGAAAGCAAAATCCTCCATTGACAAGCTTGCTGAGCTTCCTCCTTGGCACCCTATCACTGGTGTTGCAGCAAACAATGCTGAGCCCGATCAATCCAATCCAAATGAAATGGTGATTGCAGGAGGAGCAGAGGAAACGGAGTCCTCTGGCTACAATTTCCACCAGCTGCAGAGGCAAATGGGTGAGAATAACAACAACCAAGCAAATAATGTTTCAAGCTTCAACATTCCTCCATCTCTAGACTCAGACACCATAGCTGACACCATGAAATCATTCTTCCCCACAAGCTCAGCAGCCAATTCATCCATCAATTTCCAAAGCTACCCAGCGGATCATGATCTGATTTCAAGAACCACCAACCTAAACCCTTGCCAAGACCTTGGCCTCAGCAATCCCAAGGGGACACCAACCACAACAACGATCAGATTCAGACCCTTTTCGCCGCGGGGGCGGGAGGATCAACAGTGGGATTTGACACTAGTTATCAGAGAATGGTGGCATGGAGCAATCAGAACAGAGGAGGCGATGGTGGATTTGTATTCAACTCACACTCACAAGCATTGCCACAGCAGGCATATGCTCATGCTCAGGGGGGTACCCTTCAGTCCAGTTTTTCTCCATCAGTTTCAGCTCGGGCCTGGAACGATTCTTCTATCTTTGGCACACAGCAGAGAACACAGCAGCAGCAGCAGCCAATGATTCACCATTCTTCAATCTTTGGCACCCGCTTCGCGTCTGATGGCGGCTTGCCAGTGTTCTGCATCCCCACGCGTATTGACGCTGAGGAGGCCGATAATGGCGGTGTTTCAGATCGACCATCATCCACTTCCTCTCCCAATTCCACCCACCATTGATTGGATAACTAGTGAGTACTCCATATCCCATTGTTCAATTTTTATTTTTTTATTTTTATTCAAGAACCACACATTCACGAGATTTGAACACATGACCTCCTCTATCAGAATGGAGAAATCATTGCTTGCTCAAACATTGTTTCCATGGAAAGTGTAAAGATTCTTCAAGATGTATTGACAAATTAGCAAATTGAAACTCTTGGCTTGTATATAGAGTTTCTGTTTTCTTATTGTACACTGTTTTTGTTTTTATTTTTATTTGCCAAAGACAACAGTTTAAATTTTTTGATTTCTTTGGTGTGAATTTTGCAGATTCTATCTTCGGGTATCAAATTGGGAGACAAGAAGGAAGATTCAATCCAATTGAATGGTCTACCAAGGAAAGAAAAGTATCTGGTTTGGATTTTCAAACATTCTTTTCTTCTTTGTTGATCTATATATTTAATTAGATTCCCTAGTTGTTTTTAAATTTGATGGGACCTTTTTTTTTTGTTTATTCATCAAGTGGGTCTCTCTGTTGGCTCAACTTTGTTTTCTTTGTTACTACTTAATGTGACACATATAACCAGGATATTTCTGTTCAGGGTTATCACTTTAATCCTTATGATCCCCACATTTCCTTTTTCTTTAATTTGGTTGAACTAGTTTTGTAACAGCAAGTTGGTTCATTCTTGGTAATTCCTGCATTAAGAGATGCACAAGTATGTAAATGGCTTTGCTTCAGCCTCCCCTGTTGTGGAAACTGGAAAGAAGCTTCCACAACCAAAGTACATGGAGTTTTTTGTACAACTGTTCAAATACTTCCTGGACGATGGTTTTGTAAAGAACGTGGGAGTTCTTTTAACTCTCGCACTTTTACACTCTCATTTTCTCCGTTTGCGCTCATCTTCTTGTTTGTGCGTACTTCGTGTGTCATTTTACTTACTCCATTATCAGCATACAAAATAAAATAAATGAGTGCAAATGGATGAAATGAGAGTGACCAACCTTCTTTTAACATTGCTTTTATTAGATTATTATGAAGTGTGCAAAGTATTCTGCATTTTGATATTAAATGTGAAAGTACCACATAGATATGAATGGTAAAAGTCCTTGAGTTATCTATAACACATTGCTATAGTTTTGTCAATTTATTCATAGAACTGTTCAAGTACCATCATAGTTGGTGTACTATTCTACCTATTATGTGAAAGTTGGCAGAGTCACAGAGCAAAGAACAGCTTTTAGGTTAGGATGACAACAAATATATATATTTTCAGGATTATGTTGAGACAATATCCAAGCTGTCACAACCACTATTTCTCTTTCTTTCTTTTTTTGTGACGTGTTTTTTTTCATTTTTCATTTTGTTTGTGGTTTTACATGGAGAGAGACTATGCCCATAAGAAAATGCACGTTGTTTAGTAATGCTAGGGAGACTAAATTATAGACCACTTCGGTACCACCTTTCTAATAAGGGTGGAGTCAACCAATACAATGAGTCTTACATTTATTAGAGAGGCTAACACAAAGTGGTCTACAAATTGTAATCTTCCTAGCATTCGTCTAATTGTAAATTGTGTTGCGTGTTCGTACCAAATTTTTTTTTTTTCTTTTTGGACTTTGAACATGATTTGAGAGAGAGAGAGGGAGAGAGTTTTGAAATCAAAGTCTTGCATCCCTCCTGGTTGAGATGCAAACATATTTTGGATCAGTTTGAGAGTTTTGAAATCAACCACATATATGATTTATGATGAGAAATTTTTTAGTGTTATGGTGAACTGCTATATGATTGAGTATCCATATGATTTTAATCATTGGATCATACTAACCAATTTGATCCAATAAATATCTAATTTAATCTAACAATTAAAAGATATAATCTCACCTAAGGACTATATATAAAAGAGATATTTAGTGATATACCCATTCTTAGCACTAATATTATAAATAAACCCAAAAAAAACCCAAAAAATGACAGCTGGCCTTATTGAATTTAATATTGATTATTAAATTACTTTTGATGCCCTATTGAGCGTTTTGGGTATTTTTATGAGATTTTGGGGTTGGGCTTGTTTTAAGAAATTGATGGCAGTTTTGTAATTTATAATAAATTAAAAGCCTCTTTGTTATGTTGTAAATGAGCTTTGGCTACGTTTCTAAAGTCCATTTCATATGAAGTATTTTTATAATTTGGACCCCCTATATTGGGTATAATAGTGAATCTCCCTATATAAAACCCTCACTATAAAATTCTTGATGTATGAGTATCAACAAAATTTGGGTGCCCAAAAGATATTTTTCGAGTTTCGTAGATTTGGCCTACATTGTACTTATGGAAGTATAACTTACAAGCCCAATTTGGCATTCAAGTAAAACAGGCCCATTTTGCCTAACGCATTTAGCGTGTGAATTGTGCTTCAAATAGAATTTATTGTATGAATTTCAGCCCAGCCTTTACCAACCCAATTTTGCCTAACGCATCTAAGGTCCGAATTTCAGCCCAAAATTAGCACGGTTGCAGCCCAAAGTCATTCAATACTGGTTTTAATTAGGTTAGCTCAAAGTCATCTCGTTGCTCCAAGGTTCATAGAAGGCCCGCAGACATTAGAAGGTGGGTTGTTCTTATTGGAACAAAAATTTAAGCGAAATTTTTATTTGAATATTATTCAATTAATTCTCTTGGAATATGTCAACGAGGTCTAACTTAGTAAAAAATAGCTTTAACTTGTAGACTAGTGGTCTCATGTTTAAATCCTCATGTACCTTAATAGTGTGTGTATGAAACCCACATCTCCCTTGTAGTTTAGACTAATGCTTGTATTAAAATAATAAAAAATAAAAAATTCTCTTGTAATACATAAAAACAAGCGCAAAATGGCACTGTGACTGTGGAGTCTAACTTGGTGACGGTTGGACCTGGTGGTCATTGAACTGGACACGGCCAACTCTGGTGGTCTGATCAGTCAAGTGGATGTCAGGTTGTTTACGAGGGTCATTGACAAAGGTTCTACAGTCACTGTGTTATGCCCGGGGGTCAAGTGTTGAGGTTCGACTAAGGGTGGCAATGAGTCTTGTGGTGTCCGGTATTAATGGGTTAAAAAATTTCAACACGAATACGACCCATTTATTAAACATTTCAAGAACGTCCCAACTGAACACAACCTGTTTATTATAAGGGTAACACGACAGGACCCATGTACCCATTCACTAAATGTGTTGGATTGAATTTTTATTTAGATTAGCCTATTAACAGTTTAATTTGTTTGACACATTTAACTTGTTTGACTCGTTTAACTCATTCAACCTGTTTAGCATATTAATAAACATTTAATCTATTAATTTTGGTAATTATAATATAACTCATATATGCTAAGAAACTTATGATAATATTGAAAATATTAATAAAAAAACAAATTTAATGTTTAAAAAGTTAATATTAACTCTTTTTTTGCCAAAGGTTAATATTAACTCTTTTTTTTTTGGCCAAAGGTTAATATTAACTCTTTAAACTAACAAAATCAAATAGGTTTTTTTTTTTTTATAGAGAATTCAGTAGGTTATATATGATGGCTTCTGAATGGGTTTACACGACTCATTTATTAAAAAAGTTGGGTATGTTAATAAACGGGTTAGTGGATGGAGGCGAATCCATTTATTAATTGTGTCTTAGTGGATTAACTCGAATTTGACATGAATTTTTAATTATCGTATGGGTTAACCAGCACAAATTTGATGCATGTTTCTAGTCATTTATCGGGTTGTGTGGGAAATTGCAACTCCTCGATTCACCGTTCACTGGTTTGGTTCCGAGGGTCACCTGGTTGGGTTCGGTGTCACCGAGTTTGGCTTATGGCCACCGTGCCATTACTAGAATATCTGATTTTGAGAACAATTATTATTTGTGCTCTTTAAATCAAAAGACACAATTATTCGTGGTCCATATTGATGCCATAATACAACCACTTTAAAATAGTTGGTCTCCTATATAGGAGTTTTCATTGTTCATAAGGCACAATTTTACTTTTTCGTGTCTTAAACTCAAGACTTTTGGGCACCGATATCGCATATATCTAACAACATCAATCGATGCTTTTGATTTGACTTTTGTACACGAACACAAACCATTCACTCCACCTACACACCATCCTGGCCACCATCCAAATCAATGACACTTCACCTCTCTCTCTCTCTCTCTCTCTCTCTCTCTCTCTCTCTCTCTCAAGTAATGCAAACATAATGAACACAATGAGCTCACTAAAATTAAAATTTTCAACCAAACTTGCACATATACATACCTAATTAGATTTAAAAACTGTGTATAAAAGCAAATTATACAAATACACAATTTGCTCACTCAAATTAAAACAGTCAACATCTTTCAATACGGTCAAAGTAAAATTGCTTTGTCTTACAATTGGAACAGTGGACAACTCCAAACTTGTTAGGCTTGTCCTACAAAACACAAACTTTTCATTTTCATTCATTTCACAAAGATCGTATTCGACAATCCATAAGAATTTATAGCAGCACCCAAGAGAGAGAGAGAGAGAGAGAGAGAGAGAGAGAGAAAATGATTCAAATTTTAGATATTTCACCGCTTTCAATTTACAATTGTTCATGGAATTCTCAGAATCTGTCTCCGTCTGATCGATCTGTCTTTCTTATTCTTGGTCGTATTATTCAGCTGCTCCAAGTGCTTTTCACAGTGGGGATGCTGTGGTTGGGAGGATGGTGTGGAGGATTGGGAAGATAGGGAGAAAGTAGGCATCAGTAAAATCGGAGGAGGAGAATAAATAAGGCTCATTTTGGGTTTCTAGAGATAAGAGTTATGGTCTTGGGGAAAGTAATGGGTGGAGGAGTACTGATGAGGAAGGCAAAAATATATAAAACCTTTCAATGCTGTGGGGACTTATGGTCTTGGGGAAAGCCACGGTGGAAGAGGAATGTCTTTCAATAAAAAAAGATATAATTTTTTCTCCTAAAACGAGGAGTTGATAAATTGAATAAATTATCATTTTTAAAAGTATATAAAATCTAAACGTACAAAAAGGTTTTTCGTGTCCTATGGAAAGCACAATTAATCATGCTTTTAAACTATAATAATTATTCCAATTGACATCAAGGTGACAAAATGTAAGCTGATATTAGTATTCGACACAAAGCTCATGCCCAAATTTAAGTGGGCACAAACAAATTCAAATAAATTTTAAATGGACACGCATTTACTATGTCTGTTGTGTAAAAGACACGTTTAAGTACTTTTTGTGCTAATAATATTGAAAAAGGCATAAATCCTTCTTCTGTGCTATTTGAAATGTACCTTTAGAGAAATTTTCTAGTAGTGTGCCCAGTAACACGTGCATGTATCCGTGGTTAAGAGGGGCAATGGTGGTCTAGGGCCGGTCTAGGAGTTGTTGCATGGGTGTGGAGAGGTAAAATATGGGTCTACTTTCTCAAGGTGGTGAGACCCATGTTTTAATTTCAATATTGACTTAGTTCAATTATTATAATTAAAAGTAATACCTATTTTGTTGGAACTTAGAAATATAGTACATGTTATAAGGAGTTCGTAGAATTCTTTGGCAAAAATTTTAGTTATGTTGAATATTTGTTGAATTATAGTGTGGATGTCCAAGGCCTTTTTAGGGTCCAAGGCCT